GTAACTAATTTAATTGGTATGTTTATAAAACCATGGCTATTAAATTATAAAATTGAACTTATTCATGATCACTGAGTTACTTTTATAAAAATTGAAAATATTAAAAGTCAGAATTTTGTTTACTATATCTTTGTTTTAATCATGTATTCATCATTATTTTATAGATAAAAAATGGTCAGATTAGAGTACGACGTGTAGTGGCCAGAGAAATACTAGGATGGGCTGGTAAAAAGAACTTTTGATTTTCTTATAATTTTCTACACATTTTTTCAACATATAAATATAGGCACTTTTTAAATTTGGGTGGCCTCGTCCAGATCGGGCCGAGGCCTTACCCTAACTACGCCACTGAGTACGTGACATGTAAAAATTAAATTGCTTCGAATAAATAGTTGATGGGTACCATTTTTTATCACACGCTTGAAAAACTCCAGATTCAAGTTTCTCAATTCCAGATTGTGAAAGTTGAGAAAAGGAACGTATCATAAAAATGAAGTCAGATGGGGGAGTATCCCTCTTCCACTTCTCAACTCCTGCGGTTGAAGCCATGTTGTATTCCTTTTGCAAATAAACTATTTCAGTGAATTGATTTTCTTCAACTACTTCTGTGCTGGTGATCTGTATTTTCTTCTCTTTAGATGGTAGGCAACAAAACATAATGTGGTTTATTGATTGAATATGTGTTAGCATTTATACGCATTGGGGAGGGAATACTTTACGAATAGGCAATAATGAGTTTCAATTCTAGTTTGGGAAAGGGATGGCTTCTTCAAGAGGCAATGATCCAAGGTCCAAGCACATGAATAAGTTCTTGCTTCTGCGGGCCTGCCTTAGGGGTCCTAGACTCCTAGACATATCAAAGTAGAAACAAAATAGATTTATTTAACAGGTTTTTTTTGTTAGTTGTAAGAATTTTTTGCTACTCAATAGTTTTTTTTATGATGTTCTTAGAACTAGTATAAAATTTTATTTATTACTACATACGTAATAATTAAAGTGATTTAAGTGAAAATCGTGTCTTCTATTAAATGAGCACCAATGCATTTTTAATAAGCATCACACATACTCTTTTGAGTATTAGGAGTCTAATAATGAGCATCGTGATTGTTGTTTCATATTTTTGAATTCACTTTTTTTTTCTTACAAAAAAATCTTAAATTATATTTATAATCAACTCCTATAAATATCAATACTTGAATCTGATGTAATATGATTTTTTAGAAATATGCATTGAAATGACATTAATACTAATTAATACCAATGTAATTGTGCATTTGTACACATGCAAATTGGCTGCTAAAGTAAAAAAGATAACATCACAATGGTAGCATGCAAGCAATCAAGATGACTAAAAATACAAAATACAAGTTAGAATACACTAAAATGCTCACCTACATCTAAAAGCAAACTAAAGTAAAGCAGAAAGTAAAATTAAGCCAAACCGAAAATTTGAAATAAAAATTAACTATATGAATTATAAAAAAAGTGAATGTAAAGTTCTGAAAATTTCAAAGACATACCTGCAAATCAGAAATCAGCACGCAATTAGGCCGCGAGTCAGCAAGCAGAGACTTGCCAAGCATGCACGGGCGGACGACGGAGAGCGGAGACGCACAGGGTGGAGGGCGGAGAGCAAAGCCGCATAGCACAGAAGGCAAAGTTAAGAGCGGGGGGAGGAGCCGCCGAGGCCAGAGGCACAGCTGGAGTTGGATAGGAGGAGGAGAGCAACATGCGTCTATGTGCTTCAGATTGACAGGTTGTGAGGAATGAGGATGGGTCAATCGATCTCTGGTTTTGAATTAGGAATTCGGTCATTTATGAAATAAGAAAGATGAAAGTGAAAAAAGAGAAAGTCTATAATTTTTTTTGGACGAAGATGGCTTAAATTAATAAAAATGAACATGAGCAGGATACAACCAGACAAGAAGCTCACTGTCTACTGTCCGCCCTTAAACCAGACTTAGAACCTGCCACCTCAATAGAAGCAACCAGTTTCGTTGATCCTACTTTGAGCTTACCTGAGCCAATGACTAGCAAACTAGACTCCCTATCATGAATCCTATGTTCTAGAGTCTCAACGTAACCAAAGTCAAAAGTAACCAAAAAAACTCCATGTCTAACATAAAAACCTATAATGAGAAAAAACAACTTAGAATTTAAAATAGATGCACTTTGTCCGCAGCACTCCAACTTCACATATTTAGACGGGTCTGGGTGCTCCTGTCACGCCCCGGACCGCATCCGAGCCACGTAGACAACCGCCGTACAACCCGATAGGAACAACAACAGTTCATCCCTATTGAATTGCACAAGGCGTCCGATTGATTCTTTTGCCAAACCGATTAGTAAACACATATAATCAACATCAATATCATAATCAAACAATTGCGGAAATAATAATATGTTTGATACTTAGCCACACGTGGCAAACACGGGCACACAGGCCCTCAACTTTTCTAAAGAAAACATTTGTTCAAAAATCCATGAGCAGTTTATAAATTTCAAATACGAATGGAAGCACGAACCACGTCTTCCTCCTTGAATGATCACCCTAGACAAATGTGCGGGTAGTAGGACTCTAGCCTTAACCTGAAAATGTGAGGGCCCCCGGAGGGTTCAGTACTCCATAGAAGTACTAGTGACAAGCAGGCTATATGAAGAATAACTAATGTTTCAGACACGAGACCCAACAATAGGGTGATACATATATATAGATGTGTCTCATCCACCCGATGATACATACTGTATATATACTCGTAAAATACTCAACCCGTAGGTCATTTACCTTAAAGAGTCTTTTAAAGATAAAGTTCTTACCTGACTTTTCTCACTCCTTTCCCGATTGCCTAGCTCACAAGCTATAGTCTACCATCGATTCATACTACCGAGTGTTTTAGGATCATTTACCGTCCAAGGCACTCAACCCAACCTGGAGTATTTAGGATCATTTACCGTCCAAGGGTACTCGGCCCCACCTGGAGTATTCTGGATCATTTATCGTCCAAGGGTACTCGACCCCACCTGGAGTATTCTGGATCATTTACCGTCCAAGGGTACTCGACCCCACCTGAAGTATTCTGGATCATTTACCGTCCAAGGGTACTCAACCCCACATGGAGTATTCTGGATTATTTACCGTCCAAGGGTACTCGACCCCACCTGGAGTATTCTGGATCATTTACCGTCCAAGGGCACTCAATCCCCAGTCTATCCTCCACCAAATCCTAACCTGGATATGGCTAAGCTTTCATTCCTTTAACTATGGACAATGCCTAGCCCTATAGTCATATAACAATCCTTAGGAACCAACGTGGGCGGGTCCCACCTGAACGGCACACGTTAACCTACTCAAAACTGCCTGTTTTGAGCATAAACCAATACTCGATCGAGTATCTACCCATACTCAGTCGAGTACAGGAGGCAGTAGCCCCAAAAGCTAATTTTCAATGTATACTCGATCGAGTATCTACCCATACTCGATCGGGTATAGGAGGCAGTAGCCCCCTGGGGCAATTCTTCAGCAAATACCCGGTCGGGTATGTGTCAATACCCGGTCGGGTATGCCAGTTGACTTGGCGGTCAACTCCCGTTTGACCACCCAAACGGAGTCCGATTAACGTGAAATTTTATACACATATACTTCTTGACGTTCTTGATCCAAAAATACCATTTTGGATTCCTGGAACATCACACATAATAAGTTATCACATTTTTAATCACCAAACCTACATAACATGCTTTTCAACTATGTTTTATGTATAATCATGACATAAGCAAATACTTGATTATTCTTAATCATTCCATAAAACATATTTTTGATTACTTTAGGTAATCTCATGCCTCACGCAAAAGTTATAAAGCACAAAGCCGTCGTCTCACCTTAATGAAGCTTATGAAGTTCTAGCCTTCCCGATTTAGCTCCGGTGAAACTCCAGCGAACTTCAACAAACTCCGGCGACAACTCCGGCGACCCTTTCAACTCCGTGAAAGTTCCTTGAATACCTTAGACAAGTTACTAACAAGGTTTTTTCATCATAAAACCCATAGTAATACAAATAACCTCAAAAGGTTATTTTCCGGTGAATCGGTCACTTTGGCTTCTAAGTCCGTTCTTGGACTTAGAACTACCTTCCAACCCCTTATTCTACACTTCAAAACGTGTAGAACAATACTAGGGTGTGAAATATGATTGAATAATCATATAAGAGGATTGAAGAACAAGAAATGGGATTAATGGAGTCGTTACCTTGTTAAACACAAGTTTTCCTCTCCAAAGTCAACTTTTCTCTTCTCTTTTCCCCTCCTTCTTCCTCCTCTAACTTGGTGCGAAAATGGTGGATGAAAAATGGTGTATTTGCAGACCTTCTCACTCTTCCTTGGGTGGGTTGGACGAGCTGTAAGGGCTGGGGTGATTGAGAATGTCATTTTGGCATTTCTCTCAATAATAACATGGGAGGGTCCCATGCATTTTTATTGTTTTTGGATCCCCAATCACTTCATGCTCCCTCTTCCACCTTCCTTGTGCGGCTCCCCCGATTCATTTGCAGCCCAAAAACGTGGGTTGGCCCCCACTTATGTGGGAGGTCAACCCGTTGTGTCTCGGGGTGTACAATCGCCGCCGCAGTATCCCCATCCCCGTCGTGGAACGTCCTACTCGGCTGAGAACAATCTCCCCCTTTCTCCATCGTCTTCCGCTGTGACTTGTGCTCGCCTGACCCTTCTTCGTTCAAGAGAAAGTCTATAATTGAAAAGTAAATTCTTGGATGATATAAATGAAATGTAATTAGAAAAGGTAAGTTTAAGGGGATATTTCCACATAAAAATAAAATTGAAATTAGTCCTTTGGAGCCAGTACTGACGAGGCTGACTGTGATCAAATCCGGATTTAACTGTCTAGGGTTTTGGAGGGTAGTTCATAGACTCCAGTATTATGGGAGCGTAAGTCCCGACATCTGGATTATCAAAAAAATAAATAAATAAAAAAATAAAATCGAAATTAGTATTCATTTCATAATTGATTTCAAAATTGTATTAAAAAAAAAACAAGCAAAGAGAGAGTTGGGAGAGGCGCTATTAACTTTGCCGGCGAATCGGCGGTGGTCACGAGAATTGGTGGCAGATGGATTTTCATTAATGGGTTCTCATTAAATGAAATAATACTTGGATCAGATCAACCACTCTTCCTCCATCCTATTTATTTATTTACAAGAGACAACGAAGCAGAACCAATACAGCTGGTGACGTTTTTAGCGACGGCCATGACAGAGAGTAAAAGAACCGTTCTTGTTACCGGAGCCGGTGGAAGAACCGGTAAGTTTTCGACTTTCCGTGTGTACTGACTACTGAGTACTGATAAAGGGTTCCATTGATTTTTATCTTTCACTATTTTTTGCTGGATAAATTTTGCAATTAAGTATATCCTTTTCTGAGTATTTCATACAAATAAATATTGAGAAAATGTCGATTCGGCGTATGATCTAAAAGGCCTAGTGTTGAGAAAATGTATTCGGATCCTTTGTTATGATCTTCTGAACATAGTACATGCCTTGAGTTTTTGTAGTCAAAGGCCTTTGAGTTGAGATCTCACATTCTTATTTCTTGAATTGTCTCATACTAAAGGATTCTTGCATTCATATATAGTTAGAGTAACATAGTCTTCAAACAGTTCCAATCTTGTAGAAAACCCAATAAGTAGACACAAGGTAGATATTGCTTAATACTCTTCTTGCATTAATGCTCGTATTTCGTATCATGACGTTTATCTAAAGTTAAATGTAAATCCCTATTACTAATATTTCAATTAGTATTACCCCGTAATAATCAAGATTTTCAAATGAATACTAAAAGTTCTATTGTAATGCAAAAGCTAAATACAAATATATGAATATTGTCATATACAAAATAAAATATAAAGGCAATTAGGATGACAAACAGAATGAGACTGATGGAGTAATAAAATAACATATTGAAAATGCACACTGAATGCTAATGAATTATACTCTGCAAGTATGTTTTTCTGATTTGTTTCTTTGTGTTGGTGGGCAGGACAACTTGTATATAAGAAGCTGAGGGAGAATTCAGAGGAATATATAGCAAGAGGGTTGGTGAGAAATGAGGAGAGCAAGGGAAGTATTGGGGGTGGGGATGATGTTTACATTGGTGATATACGAAACCCCGAGAGCCTAGTTGCTGCTATTCAGGGTATAGATGCTCTTATAATTCTTACAAGTGCTGTCCCAAAGATGAAACCAGGTTTTGATATCACTAAAGGTGAAAGGCCGGAGTTCTACTTTGAAGAGGGGTCATATCCCGAACAAGTGAGCTATCTTTCTAGTTTTGACTATGGGTTTTCACTTGTCTTTCCCGTAACCTTTGCTGATGATTGATAAATGATGTAGGTGGATTGGATTGGGCAGAAGAATCAAATAGATGCAGGTAATTTGGGGTTGATGATGATTTTTTACTTTATTGCTCTTTTACCTTTATTTGAACAAATTTAAAGGCCAAATTCTGAGTAATGATCAATTTATTACAGCTAAGGCTGCTGGAGTGAAGCATGTCGTGCTCGTTGGGTCAATGGGAGGAACCAATCCTAACCACGCACTGAACAGCTTAGGGAATGGGAACATATTGGTGAGATCATATGCTTAAACAATTAAGGTTTCCGATGCCATTAGCTTTCAAAATGAATAATATTTGTACTTAAACTATGCAACTTATTTTTCTTCAATAATATGCATAAATGATAATGTTACGGGTAGAGTGATGGTAGGGAAGGGTTCAGTATTATCTCAAAGTTACTTTTAAATGATCTCATCCTCACTTGGTAATGTTGCAATAGCTTTACCATTTTTTAAAATTTTCTCTAACCACCACATCTCCATGTTGATCTGTTTGTTGCAACTATTTGGATCATATGACCATCACAGGTATGGAAGAGGAAGTCTGAACAATATTTAGCCGACTCTGGAATCCCATATACCATTATTAGGTATTCATTCTAGTTTATATTGAGTTATCCAACATCGGGCCAAAAGGAATTGCTCCAAATAGGACTAAAACATACTCAAAATGCACAAATAGAACTACTTATGTTTTATTCCCAAAATAAGACTTATTTGGTCCTATTAAAACTTAAAAGTAAAAACTTCCCCAATTAGGAAGGAGTGAATCCTATTTTAGGAAGAAAACAATGATGGTCCTATTTATGCGTCTATGTTTTAATCATATCGAAGGAATTTTCTCATTTTCGTTTTAACTTGAAAGGGCAAACCTGTGAAAGAGATAAGGGTCAAACACACCTTATCAACATTGGCTAAAAAAACATATAAAATCGTGGGCTATTCCATATATAAGAATGATTTTTTAGGATGGAACAACCACAATACCTAATAGTCTGCACACTCTCATACTTTTGCTTCTGCTTAGAGCTGGGGGCTTGCAAGACAGAGAAGGAGGTGTGCGGGAGCTGCTTGTTGGCAAGGATGATGAGCTTCTTCAGACAGATAACCGAACTGTTACTAGGGCTGATGTTGCTGAAGTCTGCATTCAGGTTATATCCAATTTCATTTTTTTAGTTATTCCCGTTCATTATGTGGTTATTTACTACCAAACCTGTTTGTTCACGTTGACAGGCGCTGCAGTTTGAGGAACTGAAATTCAAGGCATTTGATTTGGGGTCTAAACCCGAGGGCAAGGGAACACCAACAAAGGACTTCAAGGCCCTTTTCGCACAAATCAATGCCCGTTTCTGACTTTGTGTCAATTTATCCACAAATGGCATGTTACAAATGTACTGAACTCAATTTGAAAAGGATTAGCTCTGGGACTGTTTGTACTGAACAATCCTAAATACCATCAAACAATTGTCATCATTATCATTATAATAATATACTGTTTCCATCATTTGCAATGGAGCCAAAGATTCATTATTTTTTGGCTTGAGATTATGATGGAATAAAGCAAAATGGCTCACTAAATTGTATGCGCTTCTTTGTTATGAAGCAGCAGTCAGTCCATGCAATTTTGGACGGGATTTTCACTATGGGTCATCCGGAAACAGTGTCTTTGTGCTTTAGTACAGGGATAAGATTGTGTACATCCGACCCCCCCTTACCCACCGTAGGTGGGAGCCTTTGCGGCACTGGGGTAAATGAAAATGAAATCATTATAATAATATACATGTGCTCTTTTGACTGTTAACGTTAGTGGTGATTGAGTCATTTTCTTGCATATGAGTTAAGTTGGGATTTGATCAAAGGTACTAAGGTAGATTTCTTTTCTAGCCAGAAATCAGTCTTAGAGATAGGAGTTCTCTCCACCATGTAAGATTTGATGCATCAAATAGTCTGGTGGTCATGGACTCTTCACTCTTGGTTCAAATTTTTTTCTGTATATAAAAAAGAGGGAAACTCAATTAAATGAACTCTAAAGTCTAAATACTTCATTAAAAATTCTATAGACGGGATAAAATGATTGCATGTCGCAACACCACCTAAGCTACTTGGACAGGACACTTGGTATTATGTTTAGCTTTCTTTTTACCTTACTTTTATACTAGTAACATGTTAAATCTTAAATATTATTCCCTCCTGGGTCTCATTCCATTTTACCTATTTTACTTTCCGTTGTGATGTGTTCTAAAATAAGTGTTACTACATATTTTTTAGAAAGAAATATGTCATCTACATCATTTTATTTTATTATACTCAAATTTCAGACACATATGTTACTTTTTCAATCATTTTATTAATAATTGTGTCAAATCAAAATAGGACACACAAAATGGGATGAAGCCATGAAGGTAGTATTGTTTAATATGTAGTACTAATTATTATTGTTATTGTTATTGTTATTAGTAGTAGTAGTAGTAGTCATTGTTCTAAAAATTGGCTTAGTCGGACCGATTAATCGGCCTAGTCGACATAGTCGGTTCAACCGTAGAGCACTAATCAGCCTAGTCGACCAAACAAATCGGCATAATCGATCGCGTAGGCACTAGGCGCTCCTCAATCGTTCGACTAGCGCCTCACGAGTTTTAGAACAATGATAGTAGTAGTGTTATTACTATTTCTTTTTTTGCGAGGTTGTTATCAGTGTTCTAAAAGGCGTGAGGCGTGCCAAGGCGTCGAGGCCAAGCCTCAAGCCTTTGAAGCCTAGGCGGGAATAGGCGAAACCTAGGCGGGAAAAAGCGTTTTAGATTTCTATTGATAATTATTATTTTAATACTAATATATGAAGAAGAAAATAAATGTCCAAAATATATTATACAAGATTGAGCCTAATATATTATAAAAAGTGCAAATACAAAAGGATACATTGTTGTTTTTTACTATTCCATATTAGATTACATATATAACATGTTTATAAAAGTACTTTATTTTTAAATTTAATCAGTTTTTATTTGCAAAAAATATTTCATATGAAAAACTTTCGCCTTTTCACGCCTTTTCACGCCTAGGCTTCGTCTTTTCACGCCTTTGATGGTCAACTTTGGAGTTGACCGCATTTTCCACGCCTTTCTACAATGCGAGGCGTTTCTCCGCTGCCTCACGCCTAGGCGCGCCTAGGCCCCGCCTTATGCCGCCTTTGAGAACACTGGTTGTTATTACTATTTCCATCATTATACTAGTCAACTATTTATGAAATACTCTTCTCAAAAAAATTATTTACGAAATACGTACTATCTATTGAAAATCTGTCAAATAAATCTTACAATATGTTACACTTTTTTGCATAAGCATTATATTCACGCATTGTCTTGTTTTTCCATCTAATTTTCCACACACACATTGATTTTTGTGAATTTGTAATCATTGTTAGCATTCAAATCAGATTATTATGTAACTAAACCTTTAATCTAATACATAATTGTTAATATTGTATATATTTTTTTTAATCCACATTGACCAAGTAATTAACAGTTGATTGAATTGAATAATTGATAATGAAAAAAGCACATTTTACTATTGTAAAACACGTTTAATATGTTAAAATTAATAACAATTGTTGTTTGATAACACAGTTACTTCCACTTCAACCGATCAAAGCCTTGACGAGTTATTCCAAGGCCAGACCAAAACGACGATAACCAGAGAAGACCGCAGGATAGGGCTCAGGGCCCTAGTCTGCAATTAAATTTGTATCCGAACGATGTGTCGGTTCATTTCCACTTTCCCTGGCTGGATTCACAACGGATGTTAGCGTCCCAGTTGATCAATAAGGTTTTTTTTAGCTTTAAGTAACCCCTAATCGTTTCGTGCATAAACTAATGAAGCTTGGTGTGTTCATTGATGGAGGTAGCTTCCTTTACAACCCAATTTTTCCGCCAAACCCTAAGATCAATTTCTCGGCAGTTTATTCAAACCATAATCGTTACCGCTCCAATCGTCTATTTTCCAACAAAAAGGTGTGGGTTTTTGTCATTTTTCGGTGATTTATTTTTTATTGAAATCAAGTCTTGAAGATGTATGTTTTGGATTTCTTGTCTGTTTGCAGATAAAGTGGGAGAAGAAGTCTCCTCTGGTTATTGCTAATTGTGCACAGAAAAACTCTCAAGGTCGGTCAACTTCCGCGTGGCAGTTTTGCTTTTGACTTGTGATATATACATTCATATTTATAAATTTATCATGAAATAAAAGTAAGAATTTTAATTCAGGTGAAGAAGTGAATAATTTGGGGGTTAAAGCTGCTCTATCTTTGCTCATGTTCTACAAGAGTGAGTTTTTGTTAATGTGTGCTTTTTCTGTGATCATTATTCATTAATATCTGGACTTGTTCAGTTGTTTGCTATCAGTTTCAGTTATTTATTTATTCTTATTTTGGAATTTTAAAGGTTACATGATACAAATCATGTAACATGCTAAAAGAAATCATTATAGTTCAAAATAACAAGAAATTAAAATTTTATATGTTCTTGTTTGTCATAACCTTGTTTTTAGTTTAAAAAAACTGAAAGCTATACCGAACAAGCCAGAAACTATTCATACATAATTCTTTCAGAAAAACTATCGTGTTGTATTGATTAATAAGAAGGTCTGAGCAGGTGAAATATCACCATTGTTGCCCAAAAGTTGTCGATACATTCCGACATGCAGTGAGTATTCCATGATTGCTTACAAGAAGTATGGATTTGTAAAGGGTACTGCCTTGACTGCTTGCCGTCTTTGTCGCTGTAATCCTCTGGGTAATTTATTATTTGGAGTAGTAGTAATTGATCTTCGTTTGATTTAATGATATTTAACTAAAAAACCGGATACACCGCATGCACTTCTAGTTTATTTTTTATTACATGAAAATTGGTATGGAGTAGCGTTAAGGATTCCATTCTGTTATACGTTTTGGTGATCATTCTTTAAATGTTATTCCAGGAGGATCTGGATTCGATCCCCCAAGATGGTATGGTGAGACCAATCCACCAGAGCAGTGAGTGAGCTAAATGCTTTTAAGTTCTCATATTTCTTCTTTATAAGGATCTATTTGGAACTCAGAAATTTGGAGGTAAATACAGGAGAGTTTTGTAGGAAAAGAAAACGTGAAAGAAAATGAAAAAAAAGTTGGTTCAAATTTAACAAATCAATTATAGATATATGTTTGAACTGGGTTTTAGTTATATATTTTCAATATATGTAAATTATATTTTTAAGGGGTCGATATGTATGGAAAAGTTTAAGAAGTTTTGATCGATTTCATTTTCCTTGATATTTTCCAAGGTAAAATCGAACGGTCAAAATATTTCCTAGCATTTATTTCATTCACTACAATTTTTGGTGATCCAAACATAGTCACAATAGGATCTATCATCTCGGCAGCAGCCATCTTTTGACTGAATCTTTTTGTTTTCCTGAGTTTTGAAATATTTTCTTCTGCTAGTAGACAGTAGTGGTGAGACTATTCCGCTTTGAGGAAAGTGGCATCTGATATCTGATCAGAAAGAGAGTTCCATTTGCATAAAATCATTATATTTGCTCTTTTACATAACCTTTCATGGCTCTATTGTCATTCTTGATTGTCACAACATTACTTCTGGATTATGTGGTCATCAGTATGGTACTGCTTTTTATAAAATATTGAATTTTGAATAAAAAACACTGAGATGCAACTTAAGTGTGAGGTGAGGTTTATTTTATTGTGAAAAACAAGAAGTTTGGTTACTATTTTATGGCGTGAAGTGCTTAAATGGATAAATATCCTGTACATCCAATTAAATGCCATAGCCATTCCTCACTCACTTCATGAAGACTTTAGATCCAACCTACCATGTTTTCCTTTTCCCACTTTTCATCACAAAAAAGATAGAAAGAAATGAATAGGTTAGCTTTTTGAGCTTTTGCGCCTCCAAAATTCTTACAAGTAATAAAAGATAGTCACAATGGTCCCTCATGGTAGACTTGCAGCAATTGCATGTCTCCTGTTTTTAAAGTGTGTGTATATTGCTAGATAGAATAATAAAGGCCTAGCTTTCTCTTGCTTCAATCCTCAAAAACTATAATCCTCTAAGCAATGATAAGTTTGCTTGTGGAGCAGGGGCGAACTGGTTTCGGAACGAAACCGGATATTACGGAAACCAGATATCATCGTCTCACGCACAATGCAAAGTAATGAAGAGCACTAGGTTTAAGAACTAAGTGCTCTAAATGTGACAATAATGTATCAAATTGGTTAAAAACATGGTAGCAATTTGGCTGGCAAATCAATATTCTGTCATTGCATTGCTTTGAACATGAAGATACATTATGTACAGGTAAAAGTGCATCAGTGCGCGATTTGCACGGTGAATGCTCTTTTCATTCAGGGGACTTGTTTTGCCAACAAATTGTAGATGGACAAAGACAAGATAGCATAGATGTCTTTGTAATTGACAAATACCTAATCCTTGAAGCACAACGGCAGGAATAAATTCAGCTACTTCAAGGGTGTTTACTAGAACCAGAGTTGATTAGGTAGTTCATATAGTCAATGTTTACAAGTTGACAAAGACACGACTTTGTTTGCAACAACATGGGCAATTTATTCTAGCTAGTAGTACTCCATAATAATAAAATGTTTTTGGAAAATTGCTTTAAATAAGAGTAAATAAGTTTTATAATTCCAAAATAAAATTGCTATATTTTTCTTCATGAAATAAGAGTCGTAACTATTATGTTTGAAAAATATTTCATCAAGTAAGTACCGTCATATTATATTATTCTTGTTTCTAAAAGAAAAATATAACGACTCTATTTTGGAATTCCAAAATCCGTTACTCCTATTCCGGAACTTTCCCATTTTGTTCTTGAAAAAGTTGTAAAGTTTATATACAGATGAAATTTAATGAAGAGTAAAATGGTGTTATTTGAGCCTAGAAATAAATGTTTTGCACAGAATAAAACATCCACCCGAATTCGCCATTGGATATCAAGAATAATAAAAGGATGACACCCCATCCCTGAGGGCCCCCAACCCCGACCGGACAGTACGTTGGGAGGATGTAAGTTGGTCTATAATCCCAATCTGACAGATAGAGAGTGGGGCTCTGTCCCCGGTACTTGCTGAGGCCCTATGCATTTTTTTAGCATAGTAACCCCTCATCGCAGTTGACGGGATTCGAACCCCTATGCATTTTTTTTTTTATATCAAGAATAATAACAACTGCTGGACAGATTCTATAAATGAGATTCTCTAGCTAATGAAGGCTTAATTGACCCCTTGAAACAAAAGTGTCTGCTGGAAAATTTTGATAGCTTACTATACATAGGGGTGCATCTTTTTTCGAACAGTATCAGACACTACATATGGCATTGTTTATTAAGAAACTTGTCACTAAAGCATCTTGGGATAAAAAGAAGAAACTTCACCAATAACTTATAGATGGAGTTAAATATCATGCTTTATGTTAAAGACTTGAACCGTCGTTGCTTAAGTGTCAAGACAAGTTCTTTTTTCCTGTTTTTTGTTCTCATTCAACAATATCGGTGTATGTTCCTCCTAAAGAAATTACTCACGTCTTTGAACCGCTTTATCTCTTCTAAGCAAATAGTCTCTGCGTAACAAAAAGATTTTTCCCCTTTCTTTTTCGAATGTTACCAAATAATCCTCTCATTTCTAAATCTTTTCATTATATCTCAATCAATTTAAAAATAATACAATATTACACCTTTTTTTGGATTTATACTTCATTCTATCACACTATTTCATTATATTCTCATCATATTCTTAATAATTTATTTCGTCTTTTACTATTCATAAACCCACTTTCAAAGTGGGAAGATCTTATGTTAGGAAGGTAGTACTATCACATGTTTTCCTTTCAAACAAACTTTAAGGGCCTGTTTACTAACATAGATATTTCCGGTTTTCTATTTCTGTTTTCCGTTCTCTAATTTTCTGTTTTCATTTTTCAGTTTTTCGATCTCCAATTTTTTGTTTTCATTTTTTAGTTTTCCATTTTCAAATCTGAAAACATGTTCATACAATTTTCATTGCAACACTAGGTGTAAGTATGTAAATTCATTGCAACGGCTCATCGGCACACGCGTTTTCCAAATTTAGAAAACTAGTAAAGGCATTTCTCCAATTCATTAAGGAAAACATAGAGACATCTCATTTTTTTTGGTTTTGAAAAACAATTTGGTAAACGCAATTTTCTGTTTTCCTTTCTCCAGTTTTTCAGCAATTTTTTCGGTAAACACGTTTTCTGTTTTCCTTTTTCCAGTTTTCCAGTTTCCTAAAAAACTGGAAAATATTTTCGTTAATAAAGAGGCCCTAATAATTTTATGGTTGTTGTTTAGAAAATAGAGCTAGTACAAGTAAAATTAAAATTTAAAAGGCACGCCAAAGCTCTGATCTATCTATGTTGAAATAATCTGTTTCATTTAATTCCTTTTTTGCATGTTATTTTATGGTTCTTGTTTAGATATTAGATTACTTCACAGGGTTCAACTTAAGTCTTTACACAGTTTTACTCTCGATGTCTTGGTAAAAAATATCTAATCGGGAGTTATATATGTGTATTTCGCACAATTTCATCATTCAATTAATAAGAGTGAGGTCCCTTAACTTTAAAGTGAATGACAATAATGATTTCAACTAAAGTAATACGATTCACCCCATTTTCAATAAAAAAAAAGGGAATTATATATGTGTGTGTGTCAGTGTGTGACAAAAACATTTATAGATTCCCAATAATATATGACTAACAAATTAACATAAACGTACATGTGTTTATATGAGTAATAACTCAATTGAAGGGAAGAACACTGTTAATATAAAAATATAAAACTCTAGTCATATTCCTAATAATATTCTCTAAAAACAATTACTCCCTCCGATCTCAAATGAAACTCACACTTTCCTTTTCGGGTAGGTCCAAAATAAACTTCACACTTCTTCTCTCTTTCTTATTTGGCAAATTATCTACATCAAAACAGTGCAAAATAATGTCAAACAGTATCAAACAATGTCACAACAATGTATTCTATAGTAAAGTCAAATTTATTTCCTTCATATGTGTGAAATCAAAATGTGAATTTCATTTGAGACCGGAGGAAGTATAGGTACACATTTACAATTATCGGTATGATTCCTATGAATGGTCTTTTTCTTTCATCCATCCCAATTTCTGTCTCGGGTAGATTACTACAAGTATTGTTAAATATGCGATCGAAATCTACCCACTTAACATAGAGTTGAATTTGGAATCTTCCACGTCCAATTGTGTTGTCCATTCTTCCTCTTAGGCTTTGTTATACTTATTTTAGTTAATATTCTTGTTCGTAAAATTGAAGCAAACAGGAATATAGGGTGGCAGAAAGATTTAATCAAATAAATCAATCTTCGGAGTTTTTTTTATTTGTTTTCACAAAAGATATTTTGTCGTTTTTAATCAAAGGGTTAATTTACTTTTCATAACGTCATACTCCATATATTGTACTCGTATTAGTATTTATTTATTCTCTTTACAACAAGCTAAAACAGTACGGAGTAAAATATAAATAACTTTTGAAATAATATCGAACAATATCTAAACATATGTAAAACTATTTCATCTTAACCTATGTTGATTTTTAAAAATTTATCATACTTTAAGTTCACCATAATTCAAACGAAGCATAAGGATAGTTTGATTGGGATTTGAGGACAATGAAGAGAAAGGAAGGAATGAGAGAAATGGAGTAAAAAGTTAGGTGTATATCTCCCACTCATAAACCATAATCTTCCGAATTGGACAAATTTTTGATGGACTTGTGGTCGCTTTTGACCTATACTGATACTAGATTTCTAGATCGATTAGTTTCTCATCGGCGATACTTAAAATATTAATTCCACAAAATTCTTCTCATTTATCCTTTTGTAAAATTTTCTATGTTTATCATATATTTACATTTTTCTTATGTAATCACAACCATATTTTTTCACATTATTTCAACTTTCTTAATAAACGATCGGCAAATATCGGCAAAGTCCGCATTTTTTGTTGATCATATATATATATATTAATTACTCTGTATTAGAATTGAATTAATTATCAATAAAGAATGTTTAACGTAACATTGTTTGAACAAAAAATGCGGACTTTGCTGATCATTTTGGGTAGGAAGGAGTATCAAAAACATTAAACACATGTTCAAATAGAAGTGTAACTACTAGTATTTGTAACAAAAGTATAGCTTATTAATAAATGTTATTTTGTGAGTGATTGATCCGATACTTGTAAAAGAATAATGGGGACTTTACTTAAAAGTGTAAATTTTATATCTATTAATCTATTATTTGATTTTTGTAAAATTTAATCCTTGTCCTCCAAATTTTTTAACCAAATTAAGGGAGGAGAGCACTTTTTCTCCCATCTTAAAGTAAAAAACCAAACATAATCGAAAATTGTATAGAGTTCATCAACGAGGTACTCAACAGTGGAATAGTAGAGACACTGCTCATAGTCTAGAATGATTATTATTTATGTTTGTAATTTTAATTAGTTTTATTTGTTGTTGTTTAGGGAATTACACACTTTTAGTGCAATACTTTATTTTTCCTATCGGTTTAGATTGTGATTATTCTGAGCTTAAAACAAGTCAAGATCATCCAAACGATCGAGATTGAACCCTGAAAGATCAATGAAAGTGCAAAGGGACAAGGCAAAAAGAACATAAAAAAAATAGTTCACATACCCGTTCGGGTATAGGCAATACTCGATCAGATATTGAGTTGATTCGGGTGTCAGAATCAGAATCCGAAGAGAAAAAACGTGCAGGATTTTGAATATTTGGCTCATACTCGACCGGGTATGCCGACATACCCGACCGTGTATGTCCAAAAAAATTACTTTCCGGGAAACTGCCTCAAATACCCGATCGGGTATCCTATATTCTCAGTCGGGTACCAAGCTCTACTACCTCCAAACACCTATAAATACACCATTTTTTCTTCCCAATAAAATCACCAATTCACACATACTTTTAAGCTCAGTTTAGCTGAATGTTTTATTTATATTTTCTAGCGTGTTTAGTCTCCAAATGAGGAACTAAACTCTTCTATCATGGTTTTGCTACATTGAAGCTTATGATTTGTAAGTTGTAAGTTATTTATTTTAATCATCTTCCTTGAATATTAATTACATTCATATTCATATTTCATACTTCGAATTAATATTTGAGCATTACTTAAAGAATCAACTAGTTTTGTTTTATATATTAATTATTACTAAAATCGATCGATGAATACGCTTGTTAGTCGTTTGGTCCATTCACGGTAGTAAACTTGGATTATTAGTGCATGCGTCTCATGATTAATAATTCAAGGGGGATTAAATATATGAATTAAACCAATAAACCGCTTGTGTTGAGGTTATCAATCTCAATTGATTTCATCTTAAGTTTTATTGCTACTATCGTGTCAATATACGACACATGTTATATATTGACTATGTGATAGTAAATTTTATTAATGACCGCGTCTCGTTATTAATAACTACTCTCGATGCATTAGAGATACTTCACGATTGAGTATTCGAGAGGAAGATAGATAAAGATATAATCGGGATCGACGAACATTTTATTAAATGGATATAAGCAAACCAAGTCTCCATCTCTATTTTATTAAGCTACATATAAGTCGTTCATCTTGGTGTTAAAATTAATTTAATCAAATCAATCTTAAAACTCCCTTTTACTATTTCATAAAAGAAAGATATTCCTTTCTCTGTGCATACGATCTTTACTATGCTATACTACGGTATAAGAGCAAGTAATTAATATTATTTTGAGGCACACAACGACTAAAGTGTCGTCAAGTTCCTTCAATAAAATTGTGTCTATTTTTAGAAAATGAGATGATTACGCCATTTTTATAAATTTTATTCGTATATTTTAATGTGTCAATTTTCAGCGGTCAATAAATAATTATTACTGGGGTATTATACTTCTTCAAATATAGTATGAAAAATGTGTGGTGTGTACACCAAGCAAAGTTGACATAGTATACGAAGGGATTGCGAAATGTGAACACGCGAGTTCAAAAGTACAATGATGTCTTGAAAATTGCTAAAGTGGTTTAATCTGTTAAATTCGGGTATGGTTTGAATATGTATTACTTGTGCTATGTTTAGTTTAGTTATAAATTCATTTACACATTCATTGTTTGTAGTAATGTAGCTATATTGATCTATTATGTCTTTTACTGATTATAGTTGATGGGGTTACAGGACTAGGCCCAGAGCCTAATCGGCCCAGGCCCCGAACTTGGATCTGCAGGCCCAGGCCCAACGACCCAGCCCAGTGGGGAGCCTGCTTTCCAGCCTAGCCAAGAGTCTACTTCCAGCCGAGCCAGGAGCCTGCCTCCAGCCCAGCGGGGAGCTTGTCGTCCAGTCCAGCAGGAGGGAGCTCAAGCGTCCGGCCTGCCAACCAGGTCGACCTGCCAGCCAGGAACAGTAACGGCCAGAGCAATTAATGCGCGACTTAATTATGTATTTAATTCCGTATTAATGTTGTAATTAATTAGCCATTAGTATCTTTGACAATTACTATTTGTAAATCGCCTATAAAAGGCAAGTCCGAATTTCAAATGAGGAGAGCTATTCTTGGCAACTAAACTTCCCTTAGAAACTTTCCATTATTCGTTCTTACTTTCCTAATTCCTGCTTGAGTGTTCTTACGTAGCTTTCCTAAAACCCTACAAGCGTCCTATTTTGGTCTAACATTGGTGCTTTCATTGAGAGTCTCTATTGTCTCTCCCATCACTCTAGTAGGAAATTTCAGAAAAATTGGTGAGGATCGAAGGTTTCTACCCGTTTTTTCAGGCTTCTTACTCACAATCTTGAAAAAATTATCAAAAACTGTTCTTGAAATTCAACAAAAAAGAAAGAAAAAACTGGATTTGTCAATATCTAAGCTGGAGATGTCGGTGTCGTCTGCCAATGATCGCCGCCGCGGAGCGGCCACTAGGCGCCGTGAGCTGAAGCACATCTCTGCTGCCCCGGAGGATTCAAATCTGGGACTTTACTCAGCATGAGCTCATGTCGCCATCCCGACCGCCGCCGCACCCTGACGTGCCTACCACGACCCACCGATGTTGAAGGATCTCACCAAGCCGCTGCTACAACAGCCCATAGCCATCGTCGCCGGAAAGGCCGAAGTTGCGCCCCCATCAGCCGTCGAACACATCTTGGTGCTGATGTTCGGGTCTTCAGGCGAGACCCGAGAAGGGCGAGAGCCGAAAGCCCTTCTAATGGCACCGGTGCAGACGACTTCCATTCCTCCTGTGCCCGACTATTCTCGGCCTCTGTGATGCCAAAGGACCTCCCTCTCCGAAAGTCTTTGCCAGCCAGAAGCTTAGCACAGGCGCACGAGTTAGGCGAATTGCTCACGTTGATAGGTTGATTTTTGGGCCTAGATTGATTACTGGCCATGTCCATCTGCACTGGTTTCTCTTTTGGATCGAGCTTCCAAACAAGAAAAGCTAAGTATATTCCTCAATTTTACATCATCATTAATCAAAAAATAATAACATGATTCAATAAAAAAATCGCAAATTGAATCATTTGAAAAGATATTTTAAGTGATATGATTGCTTTTACTCTTGTTAAGTGTGTTTAATTTTAACATTGAACAACAGACTTATGAAATCTGATCACTCAAGTACGCCGGACGAGCACACACACTCGTACAATGGCCGAACACACACACTCGCGCCACCGGGTCACGTCATATGGGTGTGACGATTAATAAGCTCTAATATAAATGTTAATATCGCACACTCTTGACTTCATACGAGTTCTCAAGTGCTCTTACCTCTTCCTAGTGCATCACACTCCGACCTCGGGGGACGATTCACCCGTTCAAAAGTTTTTACTTGCGGGTTTGAACTACTAACCCCGGGCGGCGAGTTAAACTCTTGTTAGGGCCTAGAGCCACGCTCTTCCGAGCAACTTTGTCACCTAAATGACATTCACATTTCTCGAAAAGGTTGATATACTTTAGTTCTTTGGGGTTAGATTATCCGTTCGAGTGAGGAGTCTGACTCACTTACTCGCGGATTCAATCTTTCTTTCGGAGACTGGGTTGTGGCTTAACTTGGGAACTTGATGTCACTCTTTTCAAGTAGTGAGTCCGGCTCACTTACACACTGAGCCGTGGTTTGACACCAGGCCAAATGCTCTATTCTACACTAGTTTCTTTTATGTGTAGGTACAATTGAATGAAGTGGGAGACTGAGGGTCTTATTGTCTTCAAGGAAGCAAATGACGAACCTGACGAGTCTGAGCCCGACGAGAAGAACAATTCTAGCCATCCTACTCGCTGATGGCGACCATTGCAATAAAGGCTAAGGATCTCACCTCTTGCTTCATCTTGGGGGGCATCAGATGTACTCTTTTTCCCTTCATTAGGATTTTTTCTCATTGGGGTTTTTCCTAATGAAGGTTTTTAATGAGGCATCTCCCCAACATGGACAAAGGCGAGGATCTTCTAGTCTTGGAGAAGAGCAACTGACATGGACTACTCCCTCTTAGCCGAGTCTACTACTCGACTAAGGGAGTGGGGGACTCGTGATGGAGTTATGGGACTAGGCCTAGAGCCTAATCAGCCCAAGCCCCGAACTTGGACCCGTGGATCCAAGTCCACAACTTGGAGCCTGTCAGCCAGCCTAGCAGGGAGTTTGCTAGTCCGGCCGACCTCCCAGCCCGTAAGAGTAACGGTCAAATAATTAATGCGCTATTAATTATGTACTTAATTCCGTATTAATGTTGTAATTTATTAGTCATTATTATCGGTAGCGGTTACGATTTGTATACGCCTACAAAAGGCGGGTTGTAATTCAAATTAGAGGGAGTGATTTCTATATGCTATTTCTGGCTACCAAATTCCCTTTGCACTTTCCATTTTCGGTCTTACTTTCCTAATTCCTACTTGAGTGTTCTTACGTAGCTTTCCTAAAAGCCTACGAGCGTCCTATTTTGGACCAACAATAGTAGTACTTAACTTTTACGTAGTATTTTTATGTAATTTAAAGATTTTATATTGATAAAACAATAAATCTGCATCTCAACTATATCACATAGAACGTAAATATTCATGAACTCTTTTGAACAAGTAACAAACAATGTAAATTAATAATATATACACTTTGATCTCTCTCGCATACGCATATAATTCAAGACATATTTATTTCTTCTCATTTTTATTTTAATTGTTCTACTGTGCTTGCATTCTTTATGTAAATATGTTTGATCTCTCTAACTATTATATCAATTTTAAATCAAGTGACAATTTTTTTTGGTAAAAACCCGAAAAACCCGAAACCGAATCGAAACAATCAGACTGTAGTTCTAAGTTTTGGAGTGTAAAACTGAAACCGAATCGAACTTTAATTATACTCTGGTTCTATATTTGGGTTTAGGTCAAAACCGAACCGAAAGATTCGAATCCACCCCTAATCTAAAGTCTTATTTAGTTTCTTTTGATGTAGTCTCGAACCTGTGAATGGACTCGGCCCGGGTCAATCGGCCCGTAACCGGCCAGACCCGGTACTATTTCGGCCCGGCCCGGCCCGTTACCCGATACCCGGGTCGGGTGCATTATACCCGAACCGCTAGTTTTCGGGGCGGGCTCCGGATCTCCAGAAAGTTAACAGACCCGGCCCGGTCGGATCTGAGCCATTTTTTTTTTTATTTTTCACAATCTTTGGGATGGTAAATAGGTTGGGTTGGGTATTTTGGAGGGGTTTGGGGTGTGGTGGGGTGGGGAAGGGTAGGAAGTAATTAGAAACTCAAAAAAAAAATCGGGTCAACCGACCCGACCTGGCCTGACCCGGTTCGTGCCCGACCTGTACCCGGTAGCTACCCGGGCCGGTTTCGGGGCTCAAGAAACAAAAAAAAAAGTCCGATCAGACCCGGCCCGAGTCCATGCCTACTCGAACCTAAACCATTTGAATTGAAAACATTCCAAATTTGTACAACTAAGTAATTCTTGTGTTTCAAGTTTTCCAAACGCACCCTAAGACTCGCATCTTCAATAAGTATCCTCCCTCCGGCCTTTTACATTTGCCTCCAAAAATCGCAACCTCACCTTCTCTCCCAAACGCTCCGTTTTCTATCACCGCCATCTTTAGAATCTGAGCGTTTAATCCAGTCTGAAAATGGTGGCAAAGGAACTCATCAGCGTCACCGTCACGCTTCTCCTCTGCTCTCTGACTGTCATTCATGCTAGAATCCCCGGCGTTTACACCGCCGGCAACTGGCAGAGTGCCCACGCCACCTTTTACGGCGGTGCTGACGCAGCTGGCACCATGGGTATGCACCCTACTCGATACTTATATTTGTGAAATCAAACTCTTTATATTTATCATCCACATTATCTCTCCAATTTTTGCTTGAAATATCAAATTTGTCAGTTCTTATTTTTCATGCTGTGTTTTTTCCTTGTTTGGGGAAGGCGGAGCGTGCGGCTACGGAAATCTGTACAGCCAAGGGTACGGAGTGAACACGGCGGCGTTAAGCACTGCGCTGTTCAACAATGGGCTGAGTTGTGGATCCTGCTTTGAGATCAAGTGCGCCGGCGACAGATCGTGCATCCCCGGCAACCCCTCCATCCACGTCACCGCCACAAACTTCTGTCCTCCGAATTACGCCCTTCCCAACGACAACGGTGGGTGGTGCAACCCTCCCCGTCCCCATTTCGACCTCGCCATGCCGATGTTCCTCCAAATCGCCGCCTACCGCGCTGGCATCGTCCCTGTTAATTTCCGCCGGTAAGTCAGTTGATCGGAATTTCTATTAGCGGGTTAAATTTGTCTTTTTGCAGCTTGTTTTTCACTAGGAAAGGGTTAGTTTTACTTTTATGCCTCAAATGTGAAAGGTCCAAATCTGCAAGATGGCGCTGTCGAGGGCATAACGGTAATCTAGACTGCTCACCTGCTTCCACATAAGATCCCGGTTTATCCGGAAAAGAAAATCACTTCATTTGACCAATTAATCAATAGGAACCGGGTAAAATCATGGAAAAGGTCGGAGAAAAGTGTGAAAAACATTTTTTACACTGTTATCCGACATTCTCCCTGACCATTGTCCGCTCATTATTTTTAAGAATTTATTAATCAGGATGGTTTTAATTAGGATATTTTTAAGAGAAAATGGAAACTAATAATCCAAATCTGTTAACGGTCTTCTTACAATAGATCCACATTTTGATTATTGAGAAATAATTCAATCTTTTCACCTCATCTTCATTCAATGGCCCCTGATCGATTGATTACCTGCTATTCCAAATTATTTTCTTATCTTTGCAAATCATTATGTGACCATAAGGTAAGATTTATGATATAATATATTGCAAAGATAAGAAAATAAATTCGAATAGCAGGTCATCAACCGGTCAGGAACCTTTGAATGAAGATGTGATGCAAAGGTTGGATTAAATCTGAATAATCAAAATGTGAGACTATTGTAAGAAGACCGCTAAAAGGTTGGATTATTAATTTCCATTATGCCTATTTTTAATTGGATTAGAGTTTTCTTGAATGAATTAGTCATGTTTAGTCTGATTACGGATGTTTTCTTTTGGACCGAAATTTGTTGATAAGATTTGATCTGAATTAGTATGGTTTGGTAAATGACTGCTCTCTGTGTATTTTATAACTATGGAATTCTGGTCTGATTTGATCTGGTCTGAGATTAAAAACAATCCAAAAGAAACATCCCAAATCTTTTGAACTAGCCAAATTTTTTACTACGTAGTTGTTACTTCTTATAATACTTCGTGTGTGTTTTACTATTATGATTCAACAATTGTGATTTGTACTACGAATGATTTAGGGAGATTTGCAATTTTAGTCTTGTAACTTTCGGTTGTCATCGTTATTAGTTTTGTAACTTTAATCACGTACAAATTTGATATGTAACTAATTAATCTTTTCAGCAGCATGTACACTTTCTAACAGAAAAATCCGATGCCGGCAACATCTTTTTCGGTATACTATCACCGGAAAGTGTACTTTCTGGGGAAAAGTCCTTGAATCTCAAATATTAATTAGTTATTAGTTATAGAACTAAATTTGCAAGTGACTAAAATTGCGGGACTAATAATTAAAAAGCCAAAAGTTGGAAGACGAAAATTGCAAAATTCCCGTATGATTTGATTTGATTTTTTTTTAAATCTGGTCCAATCTGAGTTTTTATTTTGTTTGTGTGATTTATTTTAGTGTGATCTAATTGAGGACATGTTTTATAACTCCTATTTTTAGTTTGTTAGTTAATTTTTTACCAAACACGTAAATCTTGATTTTGTGTGCTGATGCAATATCAAAGTAAGTAAGATGAGAGTTACTTTTCTTACTAAATTAAATGAAGTTAATGTAGGTCATTTTAACTATTTTTGATATAATTTTTTAATTTTATTAATAAAACATATTTGTAATATAATGTTTCCATAATTTAGCTGACTCAATCAATCCAACCATTTTAGTTAGAATTTCATAAATTTCATCAAATTCAGCCAATTTTTAAGACTAATATCATTTTTTAAAATCTCATTTAATTTGTACTAGTACTACGTATGTCATTTCGTTGACGGTTAAGTGTATGAATGGTGCAAACCATTCCAAAGAGTGTAAAACAGTAATAGCACTGTAGCATATCTAAAAGAGTAAAAGTCACTCCATTTAGTGCTACTTCGTAGGTAAATGCTTATACGGAGTACGTTATGACTACTCCCTATTTTTGTACTACGTATTATGTATGTAATATTTGTCTTAATTTCGTTTTAGTAGATATTGTAATTATAATTTTTTCATATTTTGCAGTTAATTCTTGTAAGGATGTTTGTAATTGCACTAATTTTTTTTTGTCTGATATGATCTGTTTAAGTCCGGACTGGTCTAAACTAATCCGATAAATGTATAGTCTTGATTATTTTATAACTATCAAAGACTGATCTGGTTTGGTCTATTTATGTTTAGTCTGATCTGATTAAGTCTGTTTAAGTCTAATCAGATCTGTTCTGATCTGGAATGAAAGTAAAAACATCTTAATTCTAAAGTATAAAAATACTAAGTACTCCCTGTGTCTCACTTAAAGATTCTCACACGGTTTACTATGTTTGACTGACCATAAAGTTAATTGATCTATATCATCAATATGATTAATTTTAGTAAATAAAATTTACATATTAAGAAACTAAATTAAAAGCTTTATAATATATGATCAACAAAAAATAACTTTGATAAAAGCTAGATAAATAAAGTAAAAAATTTAGAACAGTGCACGTTGACCGGATAATTAGGGACGAGAACCTTTAAATGGGATGAAGTGAGTGTCTACGTAGTATTCCTAAAAAAACATTACGCACCCCAAAGTATTACTCCCTCTGTATTTTTTTGTTCTCTAATATAGGGTTGCGCACAACATTTACAGGTGAAATAGTAAGGGTAATGAATAGTATAGAAAAAGTAGGAGAGAATGTGGAAAAGTATGAAATGGAAGATAAAAAGTAGGAAAAATAAGGGTAATTGAGTATTTTTTTAATAAAGGAAAAACTTACCAAAAAGGGAAAGTGTAACAAACTTTTAAATACATCCAAAAAAAAGAAAGTGTAGCAAACTTTAAATTAAAATACATGAAAGTACCATAATCACAATAATTACGAAAGTAAAAAAGAAACATCACATATTTAATTCCATTTTTGGGTATACGGATGTGGTGTCTTTTTAGCTTGTGTTTTTGGAGGTGAGAGGAAAGTTCAAACTATGATTTGACTTTAAATAATTAGGAGTCAGGGAGAGAAAGTATGAATTACTGTATTACACCGTTGGGAAACACTTGCAAAAAAAGTACTCTGTTTCGTCATTGTCTCAATGTTTTTGACTTTTTTTTTTTTAATTTTCTGTTATTTCTTCTTTTCCAGTGTTTCATGCAGAAAGCAAGGCGGGATCAGGTTCACGGTTAACGGTTTCCGTTACTTCAATTTGGTATTGGTGACCAACGTAGCGGGTGCGGGTGATATCCAGAAAGTCTGGGTCAAGGGATCCAAAACCGGATGGATCTCACTGTCCAGGAACTGGGGGCAAAATTGGGAAACCAGCGCCTTTCTTGTGGGCCAGCCACTCTCCTTCAGGGTCCGAGCCGGCGACCGTCGCCAAGTGACCTCATGGAACGTGGCACCCGCTTACTGGCAGTTCGGTCAAACTTTCCAGGGCAAGAACTTCCGAGTTTAGACTTCTCACCCCTCTACTTACCGGAAATATTAAACTGACCCCTGGAAAATTCTGCTGTTCACAGTATTTTTGCTTTTTAACCTTGCTTACCATTCGCCACAATTTTAAGGCCTTCGGCATTTTCTCCTTTTTACCCCGGGAAATCGGAAGTGTTGGGAAACTATAACAGGAAAGTTGTGGTACCCTTTTTTCTTCTCAAATATGGTGTTCCTTAATACTTTAGCTTATGGGATTAGGATAATAGGATTGGTTTCTTGTCCAAGTAAGTGTGTTTGTAAGCCGTTGCCGGAGAGCTGTCAAGAAATCCGGCGGCGACGCGGTGAAATAGCGGCTGAAGCGGTTGCAGTAAAAGCAAATAGTAATGCAATGTAGCCCGCAGCTGTTTTTAATTATTGTTTGCAGTAAATCCTATATGTAATGAAGTTATTACATATACTCCTTATAATATAATCTGTAGTATTGTTTTTTTAAGCTGAATGTGCACAACTCAACTAATACCATCTATTTTATCAATGTTATTTTTATTTTGTGACATGAAATGATGTTCATTTAATATAAGGTTTGGATTTTCCTCACTGGCCATATCTTTGACAAAATTTTGATAAATTGAAATCAATCAAAATTGAATGGATTAAATTAAGATTTACAACATATGTTTGAGTGATTATTGAACTTCAAGTTATAAATTAAGAATTCATATTTGAAAGAGACCAAACTCAGGAATGGATGGAAACATCAAAACTGACTAACACTGATAATTATAAATAACCAGCCATGATTACATTACCAAAATTGACTTTTTTCTTTTATTTGATTTTTGTTTTACCTCTAATTGATCTTGTCTAGTTTCGGTTTTAAACCGCGCAGTTCCATGAGGAGCGACAATGACATGGGGAAACTCTAGCTGCCGTCTCCTTTTTTTCTCTTCTTTTCTTCTCTTTTTTCAATCTTCTTTGATTTCAATAATAGAAAAACATCTTCTTAATCAGTGTTTTCAGTTTTATTCATGTGTTTCTTTCCCAACGTTGTTTGGAGGTATTATTTTCGATAGCGAAATATCGTCTGCCAGATTCATATTCCCCGCCACTTTCGGTCGGACGTTCTTGTGTGCTAAGAAGAGATTTGCACTGATCTCTTCATCAATCAAAAACATGATTTTCTTCTGCGACGATATTGAGATGGATCGTCCCCCTCCTGAACCACCACCGTTCTAGGAAGATGAGATCATTTGGGTTGCTTTCTTTTCGGTGGCTGGTGAAATCGGAACAAATTCTACAGTTGGCTCCTTACCGGTGGTTGGAGAAATCGAGATGTTTAAGAGTTCTTTTGGTAATTATTGTGATCGTAGCAGGAGCAATCAATCTGCAGGTAGAGTCTACTTCTTTGCGGGATTAGCGATTTGGCGTTTTCGATTAGAATCGTCCGTTTCTATGTCTCATCCCATTGTAGCCTTGAGCTTTATGATTGTAATGTTTGTTATCATCTTCATTAATAATAGTTAAGTTATTTGTTTAAAAAAAAACGTGCAGTTCCAAGTTAAGGTAATGGGGGAGCCGAGGAGCTTGGGCGTTAATCGGATTCAGTTTTGGATTGATTCCACTTCTAATTTCAATTTCAAACTTCTTATAAAAAATTAAAGTAGAAAAAGGCGGAATGAGTTTATTCTGATCACATCGTGGAGGAATCCAAACTGATTCGGACTGGTCTCGGATTCTCGGTCCATAGTTGTAAAAACAAGCAATAACTGATCTAGCTCTTCATTCGTCTGGTTCCATTTGGTTCCCGTTCTCGAACCAGGATGAGTCCGTAACAAAAACTGAACAAATAAAATTTATATTGCCCTAATTGGGCTCACCAAAACTCCTACTTTTCCCATGTTTTGCACTTTTGCTTGGCAATATTAATTTACTCCGTAATTAATGTATTGCGGTTGCAATACACAAACTATGTTGGCCAAAACTAAAGGAGTTTTTGTTGAAAATTTCACTGTGTGGGTGGGGGTGGGGATTAAGTCCGTTGGGGTCATTAAAAGGTGACTTCGAACAGGGAAAACATTTCTTTCTTTCGTACCAAACATTTGTTTCTTTATCGTACCATTTTGGGTACCAAAAAGCAATATACATGCTTGAAGGTGTTTGTTGACTTAACATGTATACTCTATTCAATGTGGCCCTAAAGGGACAACAACACTTACCCTCCAATTCAACATCCTATAAGTGACTATTACTGTATAAATAAATATAATATCGTTAGATACCAATAGTGTACAAGTAATTAGTATTCCAAATGTTGATGTCCAGTGCGATTAAGAATTGAGTGCTCTTCTCTTGTCTTATTCAAAAAGCACATTAGAGTAGCCCATTTGAAGGAAGATGATAATCCCGTGGGTATCGAGGCACACTTATGTTCTTGAGGAGCTTTAGGGGGTCTCGGCCCCCCAAGAAAAAATGTGTGATGTAAAAATATGTGTGCAAATGTTTATAAGCAGTACCAAATATAATGAGATTTTAAGCTTTGTCTCCTAATATACATTCATTTGTTAATCAATTAATAAATGAGAACTCATATCTACGCATCACACAACATATTAGATACTAAAAATCAGTCCAGCCATCCGTCTAGGCGCTAGGCTGGGCCCGAGCGCCCCGATTTTGTTCTAATCGGTGGAAAAAATCGTTTCGGGGCCTAGACGGGTGGTGGCTAGGCGGCTTGGACTAAAAATTTTCCCGAATCAACTTTTTTTCTCGTTTTATCTTAAAACATTGTGTGATGAAGAAGTATTCTGTTCCTATATAATTTATTTTCATATTCCCACATTTAAAAATTTGTTTTTAAATACAAATAAACTTTTTTAGAATGTATTTTAAGTTTTTTAGAGAGTAAAAAACACAAATATCTTAATATTTTTATTAAATTATTTAATATTGATGATTCTACTGTAAAAAACTTAACAGTTAATGATTATATGAGTTATTTCTATTGTCAAAATATTATAGAATTATTAGTAATATAATAAAATTCAAAGGATATAAAAAGAAAACAAAGCAAAATAGAAAAAATACCTAGGCGTCCTAGTCTGCGTCTAGGCGGGCTCGGCGCTACGTGACCAGTCACCGCCCGAGTAGCGCCTAACACCTTTTAGAACACTGGATATTACTATCATATACTAATTCATATAGATAAATGTATATGATGGGAAGCCAATCTTTGCTAGACCATGATGAGTTTAGAGCTCAAGTAATGAAGAATCTACTGCATATTTTACTTGTTGTGCAGTGAATATAAGTTACTGCATTGCAAAGTATCAATTGGCTGAAGCAAATCAGAGTGAAATTTTTCAGAAGGTCAACTATGAAGAACACAAGGTTATGTGTGGATGTGCCTCATTCCTGAGAAGTGAGAACTTCTCCTTAAGTCCTAAGTGCTTAAGAGGTATTTTTTTAATCTTTTAATTTTATTTTGTTTTTAATTCAAGTTAAAGACTACATTACGGGTTTGCTTGATATAAATTTGATTATTATTTGTAAACTTGTAAATTGTAATCATCATTTATAGTATAAATGTGCTTGTGACTTGTTCTTATTAATCTAATTATTAAGTTAATTAATATTAGTGTGGTAATTAGTATCCCGTTATTTTCTTAGTAAAATTATGATGTTTTTGTATTTGACTTTAATGAAAACTCTTATTCATTTAATCTTTATTTTTGTTTTTGATTTTGTTGCTAGAATAAATGTTTTTTTAATATTCATTTTTAATTAAATTTTGGCCCCATCGGAAGGCAAAGCTAGATCCCCCGACTCGCTCCCCAGAGCATGGACCCTGTGGTCAACTCTCGTATGCACTTCCGTTGTGCAGACTCCTTATACAAGGTTTACCCATTGGTCAGGGTTTAACGGATTTTTGTGTCATCCCCAAATATGTTCATGATGTCGGTCGGGCTGTTCAAGATATTTCTGGATTATCAAATACTGAGTACAAAAATTCCTTTTGTACATTTTCTTATACACATCAGTACACTCTTGTGTCTGTGAGAGTTTCTTTTTGTCTGTGAATCCCAGTCCACAGACAAAAACTTACTTGTTATGTCCGTGAAAAAATCTACAGACAAAACAAGTCTGTTTTTGTCTGTGGACTTGGATTCACAGGCAAAAGAAACTCTCACAGACACGAGAGTGTACTCATGTATATAAGAAGATGTACACCAAAAATTGTTGACTGTCGTATGCACTTTCTATAAGTCCATTTGTGTTATCAACCGAACGGATACTCCGATCCTTTCAAAACGGGTTCTGGTTCTTAGTTGACTCAATTTTATTTGGGTTATTTTTTAGTACAAGCACCTTTACAATAAAAGACATTGCCCTCGTCCTTTAACTCATAACCTTTGCAGAAAGCCATTAGGTTGTACATTAGGGGCCTTTAGACGTACATAAGAGAAGGGATGATATAAGAAAATGTGGGGGGAAAGGAAGAAAAGAAGGAGAATTAGAGGAATGGAGAGGACCCGAGCTCCATTATTGGCAGTGGAGAAGTCAACCTTCACAATCACTTTCTTCAACAACTAAAAACATACGGAGTATTGTATTACGATTCATGTTCTTTGATTCTTTCCACATGAGAATTGGTTATTTGGTTCGATGTCAAGGAGGGCCCAGGCCCACATTAAAAAAAATTCTTGTATACATACATAGTATATTATAAATATAATGTTGTCTAGATAAAAAAAATTGGCATTCGGCCAATATGGAATTGGAGTTACCTGTGCATAGGGATGGACCCAACCGGTTCGGCCTGGCCCAGAACCGGCCCGGCCTGCCACTGTGCAGGCTCGGACTGGCCCGGTTGGTGCTAACCGGGCTTTTATCCGGTTGGGGAGGGTTGGGCGGGTTGGGCTCAGGCACTATATTTGTTAAACCGGTCAGGGCGGTTCGGGCCGAGCCCGGGCTTTTTTTAATTATTTTTGGTTTTCTTGGATAGGGCTGGGTGTTTTGGGGGGATTGGGGGTGGGGGTGAGGGGGGGGGGGTCGGGGGTTAATTAGAAAGCCAAAAAAAACCTTGACCTGGGCTCGGCTCGGCCCGGCCCGGACCCGGTATCAACCCGGGCCGGTTCCGGGCCCAACAATTTGAAAAAAAAAGCCCGCTGAGGCCCGGGCCAGAACTGGACCAGCCCGGGTCCATCCCTACCTGTGCAGCTTCACGTCAAGTGTTTTCTACGGAGTATTTTCAGTGGGGAGAGCAGTTTTAAAAACTTCCTTTGTTTCCCAAAATCCTTTTTCCCACACGGAAGCTTTCTTCAAACATTTTTTATTCAAATTCGGAGTCCATCAATTTGTACTCCGTATAAGCTTAACATTTTCTTCGAACATTATTTATCTCAATAGCATCAAAATTTAACTAGTTTAATTCATTGGATTTGGAATTAGTATGAGAAAATTAGTTCAATTATTTTACATAGGGTATATAATTCTGATTTTTATATTATATTTAATTTGACAATATCAGTCTATGAAAATCCCTAAAAATAAATTTTTTCGCAAAGTTTCATAACATATTATAGTATTTGTACAATATT